TGAATTGATGCTTGAGCATGTTCTTAATTTGTACTGTGAGGAAATGGCTTCAGAGACAAGACCAAGAAACATGTCTCCGAACCATAAACCCCCATAAAGGTTTTATCCAAATCGAGCTGGAGTTGTAACTGTTTTCTACAAATGAGATGGGATGTTCCATTCTAACACGTGAACTTGTTTCTCTTTCACTTTTTCAGTGAAAGGAAAGAATGGTGAACCTCCTTTTGTGGAGAAATCTACAAAAAACTAGTAGTTGTTAAAAAGATGTTGTGACATTAGGCATTGTCTGATGGAAGAGGTAGATTGAGCCCAGATGTGAGACATTTCATTTGCTTTCCCCATCAAAAGCTAAACCTTGGAGGGAGCTAATAATTCATCATCTCATAAGCTTTTTGTGCTTATGAGATGTATGCTTCAACATGAATCTTTCTAGGCAATTCAAAATTTATGCAGTTCAGGTTGTGGTTATTTGGTGCCTGACCTGACCTGACCTCAACAGGATTAGCTTGGTAGCCCAGTTGATAGTTAGGTAGCCGACTCATACCCATGACATTAAGCAAATGAAGAGTTTACAAAGACAATATTAATTCATATGGATGATATTTCTATTCATTTGAGTCCTATTTTGATGGGTCATAGATCTTTTGGATGTTAGATGGCACCCATTTCGTAACAAACAATTTGGTTGATGGCCTCATCCGATGTGACAAGTTTCATCATAATACGATCAGTTAATATGTTGCGGACTGTAAAGATGGAGTGCTGTTATCAACATTATTTTTCAGAGCCACCAGATTTAGAACTGTAAATGTCTTGTATCATTATGCCATATTGTTACCTGAAAACCAGGAAAGTAAATCATTAAAAGAAAAGCAGGAAAATAATGTGGTTGGTTACAGTTATATTTCATTTGTAGTGAATGTTTTCAGTTACTTTTGGGTTTGGCCATTAATAATATTTATATCTTAGTGATAAGTTTCACTAGAATAGTAGAAACTGTAACTACCACTGTCATAATGATAAAAAAAGAAGTCTGGAATCTGCATTGTGGGGCCTGATATTTTGGTATTTTAAACCTTGGTTTCAAACTTTCAGGGACATTTACAATCAAGTGATCAGCATATCATTGTCTTGCAGATTCATATACACAAAGATCGGTAACTATTTTTTTTTGCAAAAGACATGAAATAAAATGCAATATGTTTCTCACCATCTGGGAATAGTAACTAAATTTTTTGCATATTCCCATATAACCTTAGTCAGTAAAACTGGATTATGTCAAGGACATTTGTTTCCTTAATTCGATCAGTGTCATATTCCTTTGTTTAAATTTAAAATATAAACTACCAAGATTGGTGAACATGTTACGTACCATCACTTAGATTTTGGGTAGAAATCTTCATGAACATTTTCTGGGTTTCAAAGCAACAACTTGAGATGTTGTTAGCAGAACTGCAGACAGAACAGATATGGCACTTAACAAAACAGAATGGCAAAATAAGATTCATGTAGCCAAACCCCATATAGTTGGGGCAAGGCTTAGATGATAATTTTCTTAGTTATTACTGTAAACGGAAAATGAAAGTTTGATTGTCTTGCTTGTTTATTTTGATGGTGTTAGATGGTTTTGGATCGAAAAATAAATAGAAATCTCCTGACTATTTACTACTAATTCTAATTGGATCTGCATTGATAAATGGTGTATGTTATTAGACTGTTTTCCTGTGGTGTGTTAGATGGTTTAATGGTGTTAGATGGTTTTGGATCAAAAAATAAATAGAAATCTCCTGACTATTTACTACTAATTCTAATTGGATCTGCATTGATAAATGGTGTATCTTATTAGACTCTTTTCCTGTGGTGTGTGCTGAGAGCCTAAATTTTGTTTCTTGTTTCTATGCTTTTTCTTCTTTTCTAACTTTATTTAGATGAATATTTAATAGGAATTTCAAAGTTTATCAAAAGAAAAGTAGAAAATAATTTTAGGGTTAGTGTTTTATAGGCAATTGGAAACTCTAGCAGAATTAAAATAAGTTCTTAAATCTTAAACCTTGGGCTGACAAACATGACAAGGCGGGTTTGAGTCTGAGAGTGGCCATTTCATGTTAAAAATGCTAGAGGTTAGGTCCATTTCCATTTCAGCCCTCCCAAGACACCAAATAGCTGGCACCATTACCAGCACTTTTGATATTTTCCTTGAGACTTGGGAGCAGGAATCCTTTTGATGCTTCTATAGTTATTGTTTTCAATATTAGGAAACTTTGATGCAACATTTGTATAAGAAATGCCGAGCCTGAGATTTGTAGCTACATGGTCAGAACCCAAGCTGTCCACCATTGTTAAATGCCATGTCCATTGTTAAAAACAAGAGTGGCAAGGATTGTCACATCCTGGACAACAACTTCACTGTTCATCTAGCATAAACAATCTTTGCTCTCCAACTAATACATACAATCTCCATTTTTGAATGTTTTTACAGAGGTAAGCAAACAGAGAGGCTGTTAAATCCTTTCAGAGGGGACAAACCTGCAATATACAGGGTGAATGGTCCAAAATGGAGAGTTTAAGAATGTCAAGTTTGAGATGATCACACCAGTTGAATTCATCAACTCAACCARATGGGGRCGACTCTAATATAACTATACCTAGGGATGTAAATGAGGATGGGGACGACTCTATCTAATAGCTTGCATATATATAGCTAATCTAGAACAATCATGTTTGCATACTCACCTCACTGGAGCTTATTTTTGTGACCAATGAACCAAGCTAGTGCTTGAGTTAACCTTTTATGGCTAAAGGAGATTGGCCTGGTCTGAATCTGTGGATCATGTTCTTATTAACCTTGGTAGTGGTGACTGGTGACTGGAGAGGTAATAATGTTCACGAGATACAATTTGTTTCTCTTGTCAAAAGACCAAACTTATATTATAATTTTTTTTTCTATTTCCATAAAATTCTAAGAGAACTAGGGAAGTTGTTGAGAAAATTAAAAGCATAAAACTAAAGAACAAAGAAAGCAAAAGATCATGATAAGTATATTAAAAAAACATCATTATTTGGCCTCCATACATCCGAAGATCATAATATACTGTGTACCTTATTGGCTACTGATGCAGTGGTCCCAATTTCCTCTCAAGTACTAAGCAATGGGTCTAAAGAAGAGCCACTATAGGTCCATTCAAGATGTTGGAGATAAACCCCATTAATTGGGACCATAGGCTTAGTGGCTTTGGCAGGAAAAAAAGAGCTAGAAAGAGCCATTTAGAGAGACCCAGATCATTTTTTGGATAATATGCATAACCCTGAAAGGGATCCATATTGTACATACAGCAATGGGTTAAGAAAATTTTCATGAATTTTTCAACGGACTACACATGTTCCATGGATGTGGTCGGACATCTTCAAAGGAGATGACAATACCCAGGAGTTGCCCATCTAAAACTGGTCAACACCCCATATTGAGGACCATGGAGCTTCTTCCCAAACCTGCATTGTATATGTATCAAGGTGATGTGCCTTCTCTTCTTTTTAACTTTTCTCCTTATTTTAATTCTTTATTCTATGCAGGAGTAAAAATGTATAACCTCCTTTTTAATTAGATCATTTTGAGGCTCAAGTTCTAGTGCTAGTTATATCAGTTGCAGATCAATTTTAGAAAAATACTTCCACAGAATAGATGACAAAAGAAAGTGGAAAACTGAAAACCCTTAATGCCTATTATGACAAAGCTTGCAGAACTGCTACAGAGGAATTCAACTAGGCCAATGCACAACTGAAGACATACCCATCTGGACCCATGGGAAACAGGGCAGATTTACTGAAAACTCTGCCTACAAAGCAAGAATACGCATAAGACATTCTGAATATTCTGAACTTGCATATATCTCAGGAAATGTGTCATGAATCCACCACTTTGTGTTATAGCCATCACCCACAGAACTTGATTTGTGGAAATTTTGAGGCTTATGAGGGCAGGAGAGATAAGAGGTTGTAATGACAATTTGTGGAACATGGTAATTAATCATTGATTGAGCCAAAGAGGCTGTCTGATTTATCATTCATGAGAGTTTATTATTCCATTTACAGCCTTGGTGAAAGAAGCATTCATCAGAATTTATCATTTTACATTCTCATACTTAAAAAGGACTTTATGTCTTCCTGAAATCAGCTTCACTCCCTAAGCAAGATTTGGCACCTGGTGAGAGTTTTCACATGGATACAAGCACCTATGATGATAGATGTATTCATACACAAAGGAAAGTAACTAGTGATTCCACCAACATTGAATGTCAAAATTATGAAGAGCAATGGAATTCATTTCCAAGCTGCCAAAAGCAACCCTAAGAATCAAGAATCAACCTACAAATATACATGTATTCCAAAGTTTCTTTTTCATTAATTCCACCAATACCTCGTTCTGTAGATCCCTGCTGCAAGTGCTGTCACTCCAAAAGCTATAACAAACTTATTCTGGTCTGTCAATAGCTTAATTACATTTTCTCTTTGTCATAGCTTAATTACATTGATCTGGGCTATATGATTTGCTTCATTTCTGAATTTGATTCGTCTAATCATAGTTTAATTACATTTCATTTAATGATTCATATTTGAGTGAACGGTTATGCTTACAAATAGAATCATTTCAGTTTGTTTAGTGTAGATGATCTATGAACTATGTGCTCAACTTACTTGATCTTATTAGTCTAGTATTGAAGGCCACACCTCAAGAAAGACTAAATATTGGCAAATAATATCACATGGTTCCAGCTTATATCAAGAAACGCTGAATATTGAGGGCCATACCATAGATGGGCCTTCTTTGTTGCACCATCTTGATTTTTATTCCCTTGGATTTTTTTTTTATAGGGCACCAAAAAGAAAATGATCTCAAACAAATCGAGTGTAGCAAGTCCCAAATTCTCAATTAAATGGGGAAGTTGAAGAACAAGAGACTGAAACACAACAACCACAGCAATCTCATTTGCAATACCCTCAAGCTTCTCAACCCTAAGTAGACCCTACACCCTCTCATCATTCTTAGGAGGAAACTGAAGACCAATTACCTCCACAAGCAGAGTCCTCACAGCACAAGAAAACAAGAGGCCCAACTTTTTGTAAAGATGTGTATAAAATGAATGATAATGAGCGTATTTCTATATCTTTGTATGGTCAGCCAGAAGATGGAAAATTGTCCCAGTTTATTGGCACAATAGCATGTAATGGAAATATTGTACCTGTTGATGTGGATAGCTGGAAGAAAGTATTGAATACAACTAAAGATCGTGCCTAGGGTTTTATCAAGGTATTCAATTTATTCACTATTTGTATTTTGGATTTGAACTTTTTTTAAATAATGAGATATGTGTGATGATATATAAAATCTCATTCTTACATATGTAATGCAGGATAAGTTCGATGTTTCAGATGATCATAAAGAATGGTGCTTAAAGGACCTAAATGCAAAATGGAAGATATGGGAATGTATTTTATATTGAGATTTTTATAAGCCCGAAGTTCCAATAACGGAACAACTTACTCCCCCAATGGATCATGTTGTTAAAGAGCAGTGGGTAAATTTGCTTCAAATGTGGCAATATGAAAAATTTAAGGTATACAAATTGAATTCATTAAAAATGATTTTTTATTTAAACATACTAATATATTGCTTTTTTGACTTTTCTTTATTAGACATTTAGCAAAGTAAACAAAAATAATCGTGCTTTGAAGAAAATAAACCACTATATAGGAACAAGTTTAGCATGGATTCACAAAGAGGTAAAATTTCAATTTTATATTTTTTGGATAACTATTAAAATTTATTTTCTAACCAAAAGGTGTTAATTGTGTATATATGAAAATGCGCAGAAGAGGCTGGGGAAGTACTAGATAGGGCTACTGATAACTCTGTATTTTGATGCCTTAAGGGCATCATTTCAAGGGTATTTTCGGCCTTAGAATAGTCAAAGTGTGCATTTTTCTCAGTTAAATTCAATGTTGTGACCTCTAAGGGTTTCTGTGCAAATTCTGTGGAAAATTGGGGAAGTTATATGGCTGAAATGCAATTTTTGGGAAGCTGGTGTGAAATCCAATTGAGAGAGGGGGTGTTTTTGTGAAAAACTAAGAACAGGAGGGCACCTCCTATCTGCTAAACCCAGAATTGTGCCCCTTCTACTGTATTAGCATGTTCCCCTCTCATTAGCAAACCCTAGGGCGCTTTCTATCTCATTCTTTTCATCCTTAGCAAACCATAGCCACCCCTAGCTGCTCAATCTCTACCTTCCATCCCTTTTAATCTCCACCATTCATTTTAGGACACACTCTTTTTAACTTTTTAACCCTAAGGTGCCACTTAACTTCTAATCCTCACCATTCAGCCACTAGTCATTAGATCTCAGCCCTCCATTCCATTTTCTATCTTAATCATCCACTTTAGGGTGCCACCCACTCTTTTTGATTTTCACCTTTCAACCCTAGGCGCCATAATCTCCACCCTCCATTTCTGGGCACCCAAATCTCAGTTCTACATAATATTGGACGCCCTCTCATTCTCTTCTCAGCCTTAGGATCAATCCAGAACCATCCTAACCCTTCATTAGAAACCCTAGGGTGCCCATATCTTTGTTAAAACCTGGTTGTCGCCCCCTTCTTTCTCTCTAATCTCAGTTGTGTCCATCCTTTTCTATAAAAAGGGCCCAAGGGCTCTTGAAAATGAGTTGGATTCTGCCCCTAGGTAAGACGAAAGACTGATCTTGAGAGGTTCAAGGGTAGAGGAAGAGGATGCCCAGGCAAGAGGAGGGGTTTCTGCTTGCAGTTCGCTTAAGCCACTATTGCTGCCTCTGGATTCGGATCTCAACCATTAGTCTTAGATTTAATTTCTATTCGTTCATTTCCAGTTCTGTTTTTTCCTTTCTACAATTTCCTTTCATTCAGTTTGATTTTTGTTTTCTTTTCTGCAGATCTAGAATTCGGCCAGGTAAGATGGAAGGCCTAGCTCGAGAAGTTCGAGGGTCAAAGGAGAGATCTAGAGACTACTACCTCTGATCTGATTACATACTTTTTATTTCGTTCATTTTATTTATTTATTTCTGTTATTTATTTATTTTTCTGCACTTTTCACTTCCAGCACTGTTCGAATTTTATTTTAATGAATTTCAGTTTAATTAATTAAATTTTGTGTTTCTGCAACTCTCAATTGTGTTCTCTTTCTCGGATTTAAGTAAATAGCGATTTTTCCCTCACTTCCCTATGGATATGACCCGTTCTCACCATTTACTGCATTTGTAATTGTTTGAGAATCGGAAAAAAATTTATAAATATTAAAACTGGTGGTCCGAAGTGGGTAACGACACACTTCCGGACACACCAGCTACTCTTTTTAAAAGAACACATACTCGTAAGGATGGCAAACCTATCGAAAAGATGCATCTACGGAGATTATGGTATATACTTGGATTTTTTTTTATTTGTCGTGTTTTTTATCTTTGTATATAATTCTATAAATTAAATTATTTAATTAATATATTGTAGTCAAAGATCGATGAGCTTGCATCCTCTCAACAAAATAATGAAGGATCCTCAGAGAGAAGTACTATTGTCCAAGATGATATTTTTGCTCAAGTCATTAGTAAGTCAGAAAGGAGTGATTGAGTGTGCTTGATGGGATTAGGTCCAACTTCAATAGATTTATGGGGACTTGAACCAAGGAGATGTGTCTCGAATGTTGAATTGGAGATTGAAAATTGACAATTAAAAGATAAAATCAATGACTTAGAGGGCAAAATGAAGGATATGACTACAAAATGAAGGATATGATAAAATCAAGGAGATGTGTGTCTTGTGCTAGGTAGACAAGTAAGTATTGTTTTTTACACTGCCTGAATAATTATACATATACCAATTGGATTGACTATAGATGATAATGATACTTGCTTATTGTAATTTAGGCCCAAAATGCTAAAAATGTTTCTTTGGATTCTCCACACCAAATGCATTCCTTTACCAGTAGTTATAATGTAGTGGTAATCCCACATGAGATAAATGTATGGTTTTAAAATACTAATTTATTCTAAGTAAACAATAATTAATGTCTATGTTGTTAACTATTAGGAAATACGAGTTGTGAGCATTTTTTCACATGTGGGCAACAATCAATCCATTCAACATGCAAATAAAAAGCAGTCTCATGAACTCYAGAAATATCGCATTTAATCTTGCTTCCAGAGTTATTAAGGGTAGAATTAGGTTTCACTAAAAAAAAAAGGTCAGAGTTATGAGGTTTTTGTCCATATGAGTGGGTTTATTGGTGGAAATCAAAGTTATGAGGGTGCTTTAGCTATGGCAAGAGCTACTTTGAAGTTTTAGTCAATGAAGAGAGTTGTCTCCAATCAGCTAATTTATCAATGCATGGTCTTCTTTTGATGGAATTTGAACTAGTTTTCTGGACCAGCTTCATTCCTATGTTGCATAAGTTTCTTCTACATATCTCAGGTATTGGCTGTTGGGTCCAAATAGGTCTTGCCACCGGGTTTTGGTTTTCAGTTTTAACTGCTAGCAGTTCCCTTACATCTTGGTTTTCAATCAAGGGATCTAATGTTTCAGAAAATAGTTTTGGTGTTTGTATTATGGCTAGCAGTGCCTTTACATCTTGTTCCTGTTGACTATATGCTACTTTGCTTTGTCTCTGCTGCTAATTTCAAATCTATATAAGCCATTGAGTTTCTTCTTTCTACCGGTTGTTGTTGATTGTACCAGTGTTAAACGAACCAGAAATTTCATCTTTTTCATCCATTTCTTCAAATGCTCCACTTTTGATTTAGCGGATATAATTGATACAAGAGCTCTTTCTCTTCTTTAATTCTTCTCTAAGTTATCTAGTTTTCTTTCTTAAATTTCTGGTTGCTTTCTGTTTATACTCCATAGTTTGAACCATTGTTGGTAAACATGTTTGTGCTTTTCAGCTTGTTAGAATTTCGTCTATAGAACACATAAACTGGAACCCAGTTGTAAGAGTGTGTTGGGTTTCCCTCTTATGTGGAGGATGGCCCAAGAAGCCCATGTGGTAATTTTGAGCCCATGGATGAGGGTATTCTGGTTCAAATGAAAATAGGAAAAGGAAATAACCTTTAGTGGTGTTAGTTGCCAAAAAGATTGAGAGAAGAAGAGAAGAAAAAGGAAGAGAATCCCGTGCAAAAACGGAGAGAGAAAAGGAGTGGATTCTTGAAATTCCACTTTGCATAGTTTTTCATCTTGTTCTCCGATCGAAGGTCGTTTGTGGTCCAATTGAGCTAAAAGTTTGCAAGCATGTTCGCGACTTAAGTTTCTTCAATCTGAACGATGGAGATCTGGTTTGTCTCACTGTTTGTGAGATCTGAGTCCGCGAACAGTACCTCCATTTTGGGTGAGATTTCTCCATCATCTTGAGATATTTGTTAGTTTCCAAGAAACATATTTTCTTGATGATTTTCTTGATGATTTGCTGATTGTATGCCTCTAGTTTTATCTAGAGAGAACCCTTGTACAATCACTTTCTTGATAGTGAAAGTTTTTGGGTGACCGTGGTTTTTTTCTTTCCCACACTGGGAAGGTTTTTCCACGTAAATTTGGTTGTGTTCTTGTGTGCTTGTTCTTTGGTTTAAGCTCTATTAAATTATTTCCTAACAGATTCACACAAAGATGGAGAAAAATATTTTTCCACTGTTTTTGAAACTTGGTTATAATTTGCTTGATTTTGCGATTCTCCCTACAAGTGGTATCAGAGCCATGTTATTGTTACTGAATATCTTGTGCTGAATATGGAAGCTAATTTGAGTAGAATGATTACTTTGAATGGTGCAAATTACCATACTTGGAAAGGAAAAATGGAAGATCTCCTTTATGTTAAACAATTTCATTTACCGGTGTTTGCCACTGAGAAGCCAGAAAATATGTCTGAGGAACAATGGGCCTTGTTACATCGACGGGTTTGTGAGTATATAAGGCAGTGGGTAAATGATAATGTTTTGAATCATATTACTGGAGAAACACATGCACGGACACTCTAAAATAAACTTGAAGAGTTGTATGCTCAGGAAACGGGAAATAATAAAATGATTCTCATCAAGCAGTTGATGACTTTGAGGTATCGAGATGGAACTCCATTGACAGATCACTTGAATACGTTCCAAGGTATAATTAATCAACTAGCTGGAATGGGTATCAAGTTTGATGATGAGATTCAGGGGTTGTGTCTACTGGGTACATTGCCAGACTCTTGGGAGACATTCAGAATGTCATTGAGTAACTCAGCTCCGAATAGTATAATCAATATGGATCTGGCTAAGAGAAGTATTTTAAATGAAGAAACGAGAAAAAAGTCACATGGGTCTTCTCAGCAGTCAGAGATTTTGGTTACAGAAAGAAGAGGGCGGAGTAAGAGCAAAGATTCCAGGAACAAAGATAAATGAAGAAGTAAGTCCAACAGGTTTGCTAATGTTGAGTGTCATCACTGCGGCATGAAAGGACACATCAAGAAATATTGTAGACAGTTGAAACGGGAGAACAAGAAGAAAGGCAAAGAACAAGAGGGTGGTGATAGCAAGGAAAATGATAGAGTTGCTA